TATTCGTCTGGTCCAACACCAAAGACGAGAATCGTTTTTGCTCGAAATTTCTTCTATACAACTTGTGATCAACATCATTGTGCACCTTTCTTATTTTGGGAACTGTCACTGCTGGTTCACCAATTGTCTTCGTAGGAATGAAGGGTCCATCGCAGATAACATCCTAGAGCTCTTAATCTTCAGCCATGATAAAATCATGCATCCTTGTATTCCACCATCCGTAGTATTGGCCGTTGAATCTTGGTGGTCTGCAGGTAGATTGACCTTCTTCAAAGTTTGGTAGAGCAGCCATGAGGATCCTTTTTAGGTGTTAGCCTGATAGAAAGAACCAGCTATGATACCAATTGATAGAAACTAAGGATCCACCAAACTATATAGAGAACCAGGTTCTCTATTAGTTCCTATAAAACGCACACACACACAGCAGTAAGTGAATGACACAATATAGTTTTATATAAAAAACTCCCAACTCACGAGATTAAAAACCATGACCTACCCTCGTAGGATTTCAATTTCACTACTGAGCAAACTTCAGATTACAACCTAGGAATTAACCTCTTAATCCTCACTAACTTGTAACAACTCTATTACAAGCCCCTTTGTAATAACTCTATTACAAAGCTTACAACTCGATTAACTCTAGCCAAGACACAAACACGAGGTTTATGGTTTTACAAAAAGTTTCCTACACAATGTTTTTGACTAAGCTAAGTATGAATTACAAGTAAATCAATTTAACAAAGGTGCAACACAAGTAAGGACATATAATGACTCAATATAGGAAACTGGTCCTTCGTTATGTTGTTCTTTGTTCTTGATACCCTTGAAAGTCACTTGCCATATTGACACACACTTGAAAGAATGCTTGATGAATTCTGGGATGTGCAAGTGTGATGTTTTTCCTTTGCTTCATGTTAATATTACATAAGTGACATCACTTGAATGATGCAAGCATGTTTGGTACAAGGGCATTCCCTATAAAGTGATTGATGCACTGTTGCGTGTGTAGAGAAACAAATGCAGCGACTTTATAGTTGTGGAGGTTGACTGGGTATAGTCAGTAAGGGAATTGGTGTCCATTTGTTCCCTCTGTTGTTTCTTTGACTCTGAAATATTGAACCACGTCCCCAGCTTGAGACTTGTTGTTCTTGAGTACTTGAAGATGTGTAACAGGTTCCTTATCTAGTTCTTAACATTAAATTTATTAGATCATCAAAGCATAACAGGATGCCTAACCTATCAAGGAGGTACTTTGTCCTTGAAATGAGATTTGTAAACTAAGATAGAGTACCCGCTATAAAGAAAAAAGTGAATTGATGATAATGTAAAACTTCATGACGTGTATATAACTTTAATATAAACTACCTAACTATCTTGAGTGAAGATCATGCTAGTACCGGTGTCACTAATGCCTTTGAGACAATTGTTTCCTTAGGATCAATAGATTGTTTTTGCTCTCTAAACTTCTTATAAATATCACCTTTGTAGAATTCCTTTGTTCTAATTGTCGAGTCCATTACTCAGATACACCAATAACAACCTAGTAAAATCTTACAGTTAAGGGGTCTGGAAAGGGTAGTGTCTACGTAAACCTTATCCCTATTCCGATGAAGTAGAGAGGCTGTTTTCTGATAGATCCTCGGCTCAAGAACATGAAAAGGACGAAAAAGACAATATATCAGTACCATCAACAGAAACCATAAAAATAATAACAACATTATAAGAACCAGAAAATAGTTGAAACACAATAATAATAACCAGTAAATAAGGCTGGATAGTAAGAAAAACGGAAGAATATTGTGAACAAAACATTAACAACTATCAATCTAAGACAAACCCTATTAGACTAGCCTGACACGTAGAACGAAGTAGAAAAATGCTCAACTACCTCCTAACCTACAACTCCAATGCTCGATCTCCACACTTTTCTATCAAGGGTCGTGTCTTTGAAAATCAGAAATCACATCATGTCCTGCTTGATCATTTGAGTCCGTTACTCAGATGATTACTTAATTATCCAAAATTATGAACTAAAGTCACTTTTCTTTCATTTTTAACAGGAAATCCACTCGACTTTTCCTATTGTAAACAAGTGGTCACTCAATTGGAATTATCAAACTTTCCGAAGGAAAAATGTGTTGTGGCAATTCATATGACTTTTTCATATTTTTGGACCAAATAAAATAATAAACACTCAAACAAAACATAGAAATCCCACTCATACAACTAACCTAACCTAACCCGCTAAAAATAAAATTCCACGGTAAGGCTAGGCACAATAGACGCTCGTAATCCGGCTCTTCCTCGGACCTCGCACATAGCAGGAGCTTAGTGCACCGGGCTGCCCACCCGTTAAATAAAATCGAACGCTAGAACGCATCCTTATTGCAAATGCATCTCTCTTTTTTTATAAAAAATTGAGTCCTTTTAACGTGGCTACCTGGTGTCCCTAAAAATTGAACTGAAAAACTAAAATTCAAGACACATTGACTAATTCCTAAATACCAGCTCTTTAACATGGCTACTTGGTGTCATTTCTACAACGTTCATTTACAAATTTTGCTCCTTAAAAAATCATTGTAAAAGCTATGTATCTTATATACTTTCTAAGTACACAAATTCCTACAACTGTTGTATACCTTCTGAGTATACAAAATTCTAAAACTGTTGTATACCGGTAAGGTATACAAAAAAATGAATTATATATCTTGAAGCTATACAAAGTTATTGTATTTTGTAATAATCTTTTCCTAAATAGTATGAAGCATAATATTTTTCAAAATGAAATATTTTTGACGGGGCATTTGTATTTATAACCGTTTTTTGGGTCACGTTTTAACTTGTGTCCGCTTTGCAAAAAAAATTGCAAACGTACCCACTTTTTCGCGTAACTTCAGCATACGGGGCTGAAGTAGCAAAGACAATCATGCAAAACTTCAGCATTCTAGTAGACGGGACTGAAGTAACAAGTTCTTGTTTTTGTAACTGGCGAACTTCAGCTCTATAGCTGAAGTTTTTGTTTGTAACTGGTTTTGTTTTTGTAATTGGCGAACTTCAGCTCTAGAGCTGAAGTTTTTGTTTTGTAACTTACGAACTTCAGTTCTAGAGCCTTCTTCCTTTCATAATGATACTGTCAAGAAAATAATCTTCATTATGTAAGCAAATATCTGCTCTAATTAATCAACATTAGAAGGAGTAATACTAGGCTGATTATTCAAGAACGTCCCAGAAAAGTAATCTTAGTGCATCAATTCCTCATCATGATAAGATCAATTTGAAAAGCTTAAACAAATTGTAGACCAATAACATAAAAATATCACATTTATAAGGGAAGAAAAAGAGCGAATTAAACTTTAGCATGCTACCTATTCTTTTCAAGCGAGGTGTTTCTTATGGTCAACAAAAAAATCTTAGCATCTTACTGATATTAGACGATTAATTACAAAGAGATTTGCTTCCGATATACTCTTCACATTTAAAATATAAAACAAAATTGAAAAACAATTGCAACAACTACTTCTTTAGCTTGTGCCTCTTTCACTTCCTTATGTAACCAAATATCTTCAAAATCTCTTCGTAGTACTAATAATTGTGTATATTAATATTAATATTTCCAGCTGCAAAATTATTGTTCTTGGAATCTCCTGTTGGTGTTGGATTTTCATACACAAACACCTCTAGTGATATCACAGAGCTTGGAGGCTCTGTTACGGACTTCAGAATGAGGTTGAGGGCGGATATAACTTTGAGGAGGAGAAGGAGGAGGAGAAAGGGGGCTGAAGTTATTTAAAAAGTGGGTACAAATTAAAAGTTTTAAAAAATGGGTATAGATTAAATGGGGGCGATCAAATAGGACGTCCCGTGCAATTTTTACATTTTTGACTCACTCTTTTTGTAACCCGAGCACCCCGCGTATATGTCCCAACGTAGTAGGGCTGCTTATCGGGCGAATTGGGCGGTTAATTACTCTTAACGGTTTGGCTTAACGGTTATCGGCTTTTAAATGCACTAATCCGTTAGCCACCAGATAAGATATTGGGCGGATTGGTATCGGTTTAGCTCTTATCGGGCGGTTATTGGGCGGTTTATCGGCCTATCATACATATTCACAAATCGAAATTACACCAGACATACATATCAACATATTCTTACCTATCCTCTGTTTTTGTTGTCCCGTTGTATATCCAGATCCTAGAGCAGTTTCAGCCACACATCCTTCACTTTACCGGGCTCAAGGTCTTTCAAATCTATTCGAGCACAACCAATGAATTCAGCAGCCTGAATCCCTTCATCATCATAAACTCTAATTGTTAAATGTTGAGTGGATATGTCTTCAACTATGAACTCAAAGTGCTCATTCCAGATTGGATTTAAACAGTTATCCTTAACAAAGGAAACAAAATCTGGCGTTATACATTCCTCATCAGGAGATAAATAAATTAAGAAGGACAATAATAGATGGAAGTTCTCTTACAATAACTTTGTTGGTCTTTGTCCTATCGCGTAGTGGACGTATAAACAACTCAACAAAAGGATCAGACTTACCAATGGTGTCTTTATTAGTCAACTCTTTGGCTTCGATGAGCTTGACTTATAATATGCCAACTGGCTTTAGCTCCAGGTCACTGCAAGTAACGTTGGTCCTAGACACTAGACAGACAGAGTACTGGAAAGTGGAAACTAAAGTCAAGGGTTTTTGTCTTTTTTATATTTAATATATATAAATCAAAATAAATTTTGAATATATATATATTCTTAACGGGTTAACGGATTATCCGTTAAGAAAATTGAATAATCCGCCCCCAAACCGATAAGCCGTTAATAAAAAAATCTCAATCCTTTCTCCGTCCGTTAAGCCGTTAACCCCGTTACCAGTAAGCCATTAAGCTTCGGCTCGGTTCGGTTTTCGGTTTCGGATAGGTTTTGAACATCCCTGCAACATAGAACTCAATGGACTTCAAATAGTACTAACTTGTAGTTCATTAGACTTTGGGGGTTTGAAATGCACTTAAAAAGAACGGGTCGAAAATTATACCAACTGCCTTCTTAGTTCTTTCTCCTAATCCCACGCAGAATACAGAAACGAAGAAAAACAATCAATCCAGCGCAGGCAATTCAATCTAGTGCAGACGATTCAGGTATATTATTTTAATTGTTCTAACTTTAAAGAAATTTATCTTACTGTCTGAAAATTTTGTAATTTCAAGTTTTTAGCTCAAGCATCAGATCGATTTAAAAAAGGTGTATGAAGTAATGTTCATTTCTATTTTATAGCTAGAAATATGTGCGCTTTTTAATCATTTTTGCTTGCTTTGTATATGAACTTTGAGCTTGAAATAAAATTATGCGACGTGAAGGTCATATTCATTTACTTTTTTTGGGGGGCCTAATTATACGGTCGAATTCATATCTAAAGTACGATTTTGTTGCCGAATTTGAATTCTTATTGTTCATTTGTTTGTTTTTTAATTTAAAAGGTGGGGTGATAATTTTGACTTGATTTATGATTAGTTGTTGATGAGGTCCATCTCATTGAAGAAGTATTAGACATGTGCCTAATAAAAGTTTTCTTTGGTTTGGTAGCCAACCTTGTTGACTTGGTTTGGTTGGTAGCCAACCTTGTTGAATTAGTTTGGTTTGGTAGCCAACTTTGTTGAATTTCTTTGGTTTGGTAGCCAACTTTGTTGAATTGTGAAAAGTGTGTGTAAATTGTCAAATATGGTAGGCTTTAGAGAGTGAAGCTTTGGCTATAAAAGGAGAGCTTCAACTCTCATTTCTACACACCAACAAAGAGAGAAAGAAAGAGTGAGGTTTCACAGACAAGGTATAAGAAAATAGTCTGTGAGGAAAATAGAGAGTGAGCGATATTGTAGTGAGGTGGGAATATCAAAAGAGGGTTATTTCTTTTGAGTGTTGTAGTGGTCTTTGGAGTATTTATCTCCGACCTACAAAGTGTAAAATTCCTTACTATAGTGATATCAGTTGCTCCTCTCGGGGTCGTGGTTTTTT